CTTTCTTTCTTTCTTTCTTTCTTTCTTTCTTTCTTTCTTTTTTTCTTTCTCTGGTATAATTCTTATAGTTCTACCTTTATATGTTACTTGGCCTTTTTCCCCTGCAGGTTTTAATATTCTTTCTTTGTTCTGTGTATTTAGTGTTTTGGCTATTATGTGATGAGAAGATTTTCTTTTCTGTTCCCATTTACTTAGTGTTCTGTAAGTGTCTTGTACCTTTGTGGCATGTCTTTCCTTAGGTTGGGGAAGCTTTCTTCTATGATTTTGTTGAAGACATTTTCGGGTACTTTGAGCTTGGAATCTTTGTTCTTCTTTATTCCAATTATTCTTAGATTTGGTCTTTTCATAGTGTCCTGAATTTCCTGGATGCTTTTGGTTAGAAGTTTTTATGTTTGAATTTTTTTTGACAGTATGTCAATCTCTTCTACAGTATCTTCTACACCTGAGATTCTATCTCTTGTATTCTGCTGCATACAAGACACATACTTCAGTAATAAAGACAGCCACTATCTCAGTGTAAAAGGATTTAAAGGTCTTTCAAGCAGATGGTCCCAGTAATCAAGTTGCTATCCTAATATCCAATAAAATATACTTCAACTAAAAGTTATCATGGTAAGGGAGGACACTTCATATTCATCAAAGGGGAAATCTACTAAGAGAAAATCTGAATTCTAAACATTTATGCCCCAAATGCAAGGGCACTCACATTAATAAAAGAAACTTTACTAAAGCTCAAAACACACATGGAACCCTACACAATAATAGTGGGAGACTTCAACACCCCAGGAATTATCTTTATGACCAAGGAGATGAATATACAAACATGAACATAATGAGAACCACTACTAGATCTTTGAGTGTTCAAAATAAATGAATGTATAAATTCAAAGCAAAGCAATAATTCATGTTCAGGTACCATGGTTTTTTACATTCAACAGTATAATTTATTTCATTTAAAAATATTTTTAAAAATTAATTAATTTTTTAATTTAAATAACCTATTTTATTTTTATTCAAAATGGGGTTTTGAAAATCCTAATGTGTGAGTCTGTGCACCTGTACACACTCTATCTTTCTCACACACAAACATACACACACAGACACACACACACACACAGACACACACACACACACATGATCACACACACAATTGTATCATGTAAATGTAATCATGACATATAGCCAGAGGAGTAATGGATTTTCAGTTTTGCTATAAGAATCAGTGTTATTACTTTACCTATTCTTATTCCTCTGGTTAATAGTTCAATGATTTTACTGTTAATAGTGGTGACAGTGCGTTCCCTAGTATTATTTCTTAGTTGGAAAAAATGTTTCTTTTTTGGACAATAGTGGTCACAATTCTGTCATATGTACTCTATTACTTTCAGTTTTGACCATTTGATTCTACTTTCTTCAGTAATATTATATTTAATAGATGTTCAGTTTGGCTAAGTGATTTCTTGGCCTGTATTGCAATGAACAACACATTTTTTTCTTGGTTTACTTATGGAAACACTTACTGATCAAAGGCATCTATTTTGTATATATTTCTTTTTAAATAAACAGTTTTGCGAGTCTACAATATAATTACAAAAATTTCTCCTGCCCTTAATGTACTCCAAAACTTCACCATCATTCTTTTAAAATAATGGTTTATTTATTATTATTATTATCCTTACATTCACATATATCTGCACCTATATATTCCTAAAAATGTAAATTAAATATACCCATTTTGTAAGATATTATCTGATTGTATTTTTGCAGAGCTGACATTTTTTTGATAGCCAATTATGTGTTGTACCATATAGAAGACTGTTTATTCTGTTCTCTGTAATTTCATAGCTATCTGTAACTCATTTATCTGTGGTGAGGCCTCATGGGATTTTCATAATCCACTTAAGCATGGCTATTGTCTGCCTTCAGTTTGTATTTAGGCAGTCACATTTCTGAGACTATGATGAAGCTATGACACCCTAATAAATTAAATCTTATAAGGAAATTCCTCATTCTTCTATGTCTAACAATATTTCCATATCCTCTTTCTCAATGTTCCCTAAACCTTATGGTCAGAATTTATATTGCAAATATAGATCTAGGTTTCAAATTCTGTATTTTGATTGAATGTACTTCTGAGCCACTCTATTTGTAAGATTTTTCTTGGTGTATTATTGTATTTCTCAATATTATTTTCAGGTTAAATCCTCATCTGATTTTCAATTTATTTAAGTCAATTCTCAATTTTTGGACTGCCTATCGAATCCATCAGCCTTATGTTTGTATATCCTTGGTCATCACAAAGGTATATACTAATTTCAATTCTTTCTTCATAGTTCTATTGAGCTGGTCCTTTTTATCTTTTTGAAACTCCTTGAATTCTTTCATAAATTTTACAACTATTTTTTTTAATTCTATGTCTTGGACTTTGTTTTTATAACTATCACTAGCAAAAATTTCAAAAAGAAAACTTTCAGAAAAGAAACACTGGCTTAATATTTCTTTTCCTTTGAATTTTTTCAATAAAATCTTAGCATGTGGACTTTCGTGAAGAAAAGATATGTGGGTAGTTTTGGTTTAGGGGTAGAAGGAATTCAAATGACAAGCTAATGTACAGGCTTTATATTCTGGGTTATGCCTGGGGTCTTGGGATAGATATAGCTGGGTGGAAAAATTGTGTATGATATAGAAGGGGCCAGTGTTTTAGAAAGATAGGCAGAGAGGTTTCTGACAAAAGCCTAGAAATTCATTGCATAGCTGCCATAAGGTGGCAGAATAGAATGAAGCACTAGATATGGGATACTTTAATAGCACTCTTTATTCTTAACTTTGCATTTGAGTCTGAATTTTTGAAATGTTATGAACCAATATTTCAATAGTATTTGAATGAAAACATTCATTCTTCTGTGATGATAATTTTAAAAATATTCATAATACTAACTAGACCCTAATTTTATCTTGGTAAGCACAATTGATAACAAATAAAATTTATAATAGTCTACAAAAAGCATAAAACAGAACTTAAGGTTATGAAAAATGATACATAAAATATTTACACCATGTTTTATATATTCTGATATCTTTATTTTCTTTTATACTATTATTGCATACTCTACACATAAGAAATATATGGATATTATTGCATAGTCTACACATAAGTGATGTATGGATATCAAATTTAAGAATATTAGAAATTGTTTTGAAACATTAATTTTTACCTCTAAAAACATATTTCAATTTATTAAAAAACTGAAGGATCTTTTGAATGTTTGATTTTCAAAAAAAACTTGCAGGTTAGATATTGTATACCTGGTCCAGTGTAATGAGATTAATCATTCTGAAAATGGATATTCAACATCATTGCTCATTAAGTAAACATATATCTGATATCTGAATAACAGTGAAACAACTAAATGGAGTAATGAGCTTTTTTCTTTACCACCCAGAGATACTCACATATGACTCACCTAAATGCTTAGTATTCTGCTTAGAAAGCATCATCCACCTATGTTTTCAGAGATGATTTTTCTTCATATATCAATATTTCCTCAGTATGAATTAAATCTTCACTACTTATTGTTTAAGTGAGATTTAAGAATCATGAAAAAGATGTTGCTTGATTTTTATCATAAAATGAGAAAATTATGGACTATAAAACAGAAGAGATGTTGAATATCATGTTTCTTTGCTCTACCATACCTGTCTGTCCTTACACACTATGCTGTTACTTGCCTCAATAATCACACAAATCTCATATACATATAGATCTCCTACGTACATATCATATCACATATGATATGTTTATACATATCAAATTGTGATTTTCATATGTGTGCTTATGTGTGCATTTATGTGTGTGTGTTTTCATACATACATTTGGAAGCAGTTTTAAAAGTCCATCATGGGCTACAGGTATCCTGACTAAACAATTCATGGTGAGTGGATTAAAAGAATTTTTTTCTTAAAATTTAGGAGATTGCTAGTTAAATATTTTGTGTCTATAGGTATGTTTTTCCCACAGACTCATGTGATAAAGGTACATGATCTGACTTTATTTTTTTTTTACCTTATCTTTTCAGTGCTCTTACTTGCCATATGGAAATGAGAAACCAAACAGCTTTTTTAGAATTTCATCTCCTCGGGCTGACAAATGATCCTGAACTAGAACACCTTATATATGGTATATTTATGTGCATATATCTTGTCACAATTCTGGGAAACATAGTCATCCTCCTTGCAGTCTATTCAGATTCCCACCTCCACACTCCCATGTACTTCTTTTTATCCATTTTGTCCATTAACGACATGTGTCTAAGTTCAAGCACTATTCCCAAAATGTTGGTGAACATTCAAGCACAGAATAACAAAATCAGTTATATGCAATGCATCTCTCAACTCTGCTTTGTCTCAGTTTTCAGTGGTATGGAAAATTTTCTCCTTGCAGTAATGGCCTATGACCGTTATGTGGCCATTTGTAAACCTCTGAGTTACACAGTCACCATGAACCCCTGCTGTTGTGCCCTTTTTGTTCTGCTCTGCCTTTTGTTTAGCATTATAGATGCTCTACTCCACAGTCTGATGGTGCTGCAGTTGTCATTCTGCACAAACCTGGAAATCCATAACTTCTTCTGTGAACTTGCTCAGATCCTAAAACTTGCCTGTTCTGATACCTTCATTAATAACTTGCTTATATTTGCTGCAGTTTTCATATTTGCAGGTGGTGCATTCTGTGGAGTCATTTTTTCATATATTTATATTTTGTTGTCAGTTTTGAGAATGACATCCCAAACAGGAAAGAAAAGAGCCTTTTCTACCTGCACATCTCATATATCTGTTGTATTCTTGTTTTATGGAGCTGGTCTTGGTGTGTATTTCAGTTCCTCAATAACTGAATTTACAAGATATTCAGCAGTGGCATCAGTGATGTACACTGTAGTCCCTCAGATGCTGAACCCCTTTATCTACAGTCTAAGGAATAGAGACATGAAGAAAGCTTTTGGGAAATTCATTTCTTGGATATCTTAGGTTCAGCTCTGTGTTCTTTGACATAAATGAGAAACTTTTGAGAATTTAAAGAAAGATGCACTCCTTGCAAGTAGAAATGAGTGAGCATATTACTGCTATATGTTTATAATATTAATAGATAAAATGATTATGAGTATAATTTTACTTGTTTTCACAACATGTAACTTTGTTATGTTTCATGAAGTATTTCAATCATTTACAACACTGTATTTCAATAGTCTCTGCTCATTTTTCAGAATATAAACTGGCAATATGGACAGGCATGGCCAGTACTTGAGTACTATGTCTAGAGTATAGATTAAAAGTACTAGCAGCATACCAGGATTATTTGGATTTGAACAGAGTTAGACAGGGATAGGCTGAAAAACAATTATTTCAATATTTATTGCACTATTTATTTTACAGTGAATCTACTCACTGCATGTAGTTTATTTGTTTACAGAAAAATTCATCATTAGAGACTCTCAGTAATTTTTAGATAATTGTAACTTTCAACTGAACAGTGACAATTTCTTCAGTCCAATAAGAAATATATTAAATAATGTCATTGTATTGATAAAAAACATACTTGTAATTTCAGTTGACAAATTTTGCTTTGGAGTAGTACTATTTCACTAATTACTTTTGTCTTAATGTGTCTTCGAAGTTTCTTCTTTGTGGAGAGTCTTAGCTCCTCTCATTCTGTAATAGGAAGTTAAAATAATAATAAAAAAAATTCAAGAGTAAAGGTATTGTAAACTTGAGAACAGTTCAAAAGTGAATTATTTCCAAACAGGTTGTAATTTTTATATCATGGTATTAAAAGGGCTACAGTGTGGGAGGGAATCCAAGGGAAGCACATGTATGAAGAATAAGCTTAATTGGGAACATGACTGAATATTTTAATTTCTCAGTTAGTTTCTGTTAGAAGTCTTTAGCACCCAATTTGGTTATTATATCTGTTACTGTTTGTTATATTTGGGAACCTCATCCAATGAGTCATTTTTCCCTTTATGGTTCTTATCTATGGGAAACATCTTCACATGTGAATGCCTTAGTGGGGCATCAACAGCACATATTTGATAAATACTTTGAGCACCATATTTGATTCAGTTTTTCTATCTATCTATCTATCTTTCTTTCTTTCTTTCTTTCTTTCTTTCTTTCTTTCTATCTATCATCTATCTATCTAATATATATAATATATAAAGTGAGTCATCTACTTTTATACTCTTCTAATTGTCTGTTGTATACTTAATAAACTAATTTTATTTTTTTATTTTTTTATTTTTTTGTTAATTCCTTGAATTTCTTCTTTTTTAATTTATTTATCTATTTTTTTCTTTTTTTAAATTTTTTCTCAAATCATAATTAATTCACACAGGGGTATAAACACAGAAAGGCAGGATGTGGGGAAGGGAATGACACTGGTTGTCAGTGGTGCTATAACAGTCCTTTGACAAAAGATTATTAATATAGATTTATATATCCTTAAATAGGGTCTTCATGACTCTCTGAGTGTGGAAGGAGCGACTGTTGGTGCTTCTGCCCTTACTTTACAAGAACACTGAAAAATAAACTCATTTTAAAAGATTAAATATATTGAACATCATTCTCTAAATTGTACAGAACACATTAGTACAGTAAAAATATATTCTTGCTTTTTAATCCAGGTACTTTAACAAATATACTTGAAAATAGATTTTCATTTCATTTTGTCTTTTTTAAGTTGCCCTTATTTAGAAATTGTTTTCCTGTGGGCTTGTATGTGTTCATAAAAAATTATCATATGAGATATATTGACAGAGATAGAAGCTCAATGGCCATCTATTACATACACTGCTGTCTAACTTAAAGAAAAAAAAACTACCAGACAATATCTGTAAATAATTGGATAGTGGCCCTAAATAGATGCCTCCACTTCTTTTCCTACTAAGAAGTATAGCTTTCTCTTATAAATGATGTATATAATGTGTTAGAAGCCAAACAATGAAGCATGAAAATTGTCCTTGGCTGTTCTCTTGCATAAATGTTGCCACGTGTACTACTATGCAACAGATATAAAAGCAAAAGGAACTAATAAAATAAGATATAAATTTTAATTATCAAAATAATTTTGGAATTATCCCAAAAGTATTTAATTGCCAGCATTTAATCACATTTCCATATTAAACAATAATTCACAGAAAATCTGAATTTTTCTTAGTCATGGATGTAATTCTCTATGACTTACTATATAAACATACAGTTTTCAAACTTAAAAATAAAAATCATTTTAAATGATTTCTTAGCTTTGTGGTTATGATTAAATTATTTAACCATCCACTTTGTCTCTCTACATCTTCTTAAACACCACTCTTCATTTTCTTTCAAATTGAGGACTCCTTTTTCATTAACTGTAGTACACCCGTATGTGTGTATGTATGCTTATGTGTTTATCTTTCTACATATATTAATATAACACACTCAGTATAAAGAGCCTTGTATGTATGTTTTCAGGTTTGAATGATATTAGATATCCAAATGGTTTACAGTTTCCTGCAGAGGTCTGTTTTTTCAGTTCTTAGCATTTCATAGTTGCCTATAGGTTTGTTTGTTTGGATGGTTGGTTTTTTGGTTATTTCTGGCCTCCTCTTACATGGTAACATGCCTATTTCTGCTATATTAGTTCAGCTTATGCTTAGGCAGCCATGGTTTTGAAACTTTATAGATGTTCTTCATATCCCTAGGAGAAATAGTCTCAAATCAAAATCCACAATCTTTTGACTCAAACAGTCTATCCATCCCTTCTTCTACAATGATCCTAAAGCTTTAGCTATAGAATGTGTTTCCTTTGTGATATATCCTTTGTGATAGATTTCCACAATTCTGCATTGTGATTGTTTCTCATTTTTATTAATGAGCTCCATATGTTGCCAAGAGATGTTGTCTTCATGAGGGGTAATAAATACACTTTCTCTAGGCATGATGAAAATGCTTAAAATGTAGTTAGAGATTATGCTGGTTTAGTAATTTGGTAGATGTGAATTTTCCTCACATATCCATGGCTAGACTAGCCTTGGGTAGTTGACTAGATTTCCAGTACTAGGCATGATTTCTTTTTTTTTTTCCATGACATATTTTTATTGATTTAGATCGTCAAAGTAGTACATTCCATTCAACACCATATTTAACTTTGGTTACAGTTTCTGTGCAAAGCTTTGATACATACACAAGAAAGCTCGAGTGCTTACCTGCTAATATTTCAAAGCATAGAACTTTCCAGCTAATGGAACTGTTTAAAGTAAACACAAAGACACTGGAGTTGACACTCCCCGAGGAATGCTTTCTATGGATAGAGGCATGCAAGTTCCCTCAGAACACCAGAGGGTGGTTTGGGGAGGAGACTGGCTACATTGAGTGGGCTGAGGGGTACAACAGGCACCAACATGAGAATCAAGTGCCTTGGCTTTTCTCCGATCTGGTAGTGCGCACCAATGAATATCAAGTGGGTGCATGGGTTTTGGACTCAGTGCTATCAGGGCTGGGTAGAAGGGGAAGTACTTCTTCCTGTAACTAGTCTTGTTCCCTCGACTAAGGCCACAACTTGCCTGAGTTGTTGGTGGCTTTAAGACAGCATCTAAACTAATGTGGAGAGGATGAACCTAAGTTTCCTAGCTGTCCTCTGAAATATCCATGCTAGATAATAAATATCAGTGTCCGTCCGGCAGAGTAAGAACAGGCAGCATTTTTGTGGAAAATGATCATAAAACCACAAGGACACCAGTGTCATTAAGAAACCCAGCAGCTCAGGATGCACTGGCTGGGTCTGTGAACCACGAATGCTAGAGCAAAAACCAATTGCTAGCAGGAGGTGTCCCCAGGTGTGGCCAGAGTACTTTTGAGGTCTCACATCTTCCTTCAAATAAAAAAAATAGAGCTCAAGAGGCTAACGTCAGAAACTACTTGGCTCTGATGGAAGACCATCTGTGGACCCATGTGTAGAAACTGAGGTACATAAACCAGTGGGTCACTTTCCTGCAAGGCCCTCTCTACTCCCATCATGATCTTCAGTACGTACACTGCATGGGACTCTACCTGGTCATACAAGGATATCCTAGCACCTGCTATGACAGCAGCTTAAGGCTAGAACTTCACCACTCACAGCCTAATAGCAGAGCCTTTACAACGAGAGTATGCAGACCCAAGCCCCAGTAAATTCCTAGGTATGTGCATTGATCCCCAGCCTTTTGGGTAGCTGGTACTTGTGTGGGGACACAGGTTGGCTGAGAGAACAAAGCTACCATCTGTAGATGGCCCAAGGTGTCCAGGGCTTCTGTTAAGATTAGAAGCTATGAGGACAGGTAAAAACAAGCCAGGAAAAAGGCTCCAGCCCATCCTTGTACACATACAGTACACACAAGCATAATATCTCTCTCTCACTCACTCCCCCCTCCCTCCCACTCCCCCCTCCCCACCCCCACCCCTACACCTAGAAAACGCCAAGTCAAGCCATCAGTACATAAGGCAGGTCCAGCTACAAGCCTGGCCAAGGCTGTTTGCACTCACAGTGTGCAAATACTACACACATGTAACTGGCAACTGTATCATTAAAAACTGTCTATCAGTCCTATAGTCTAATTATGAAATATTTCATTACTTTTCTACAGCCCTACCTTTTAAGTGTACACTTCAGTGTCATGGCCTCAGCAAGTGTGTCCTCTATTTGGCCAGCCATTGAACACAAGTCTTGGTTGTCAGTGCCCATCACTTAGTGGAATACAGTATAGGCATGATTTCTTAAGTCCAATTAGAAACTATCAGATACCTCCTTGTTATGTGATCCACTAATACACACTAAGAATGTTATTATGTGATGCTGGTCATTGTGATTCACAGGTGGAATAGCTGGGCAGAATTGTTGTTTGGTTCCCTCCTTTGGTATCTTGCATAACACGTTCTGTATCATGATGCCTAGTCCCCAGGGAAGGGGCTTTCAGATAAGTTGTTCAGGGACTTGGATCTAAAGTACAAATGTAATA